TACATGATCTTTGGAAATGATCATGCAGACAATGGACTCCGGACTAGGTGCGTTCGTCTAAATCTTCAAACCAATATGAACATGTTGCGAAAACAAGATCAAACAACTTCTATATAACGAAAGGAGACTGAGACCACACAAAAGGCCACAACATCTTTGTCTTCATATCTTCGATAGCAAAGAAGGTTTAGAATAGATTAGATAAGGAGATTAACTTCACTATGGAGTTAGAAAAGGACAGTAAGTTACCCATTTTAAAAGTCACAGTTATAAGAGAAACAAACAGACTAGGTAGAGAGGTATATTGTAAACCTACAACTGCGGGCTTCCTTCACAATTCTTTCTCGAATCATAATTATGGTATTAAAGTAGAAGTAATGAAATCAATGATAATAATGAGTTTACGTTTAGCGAACATAAACCATAGGGAAAGAAGTTAGAAAGGCTAGGATAAAGCTTAGTTGAGAACAATTGTCCGTTAGGATTAATTGTTGATAATTTGAGATATTAAGAAATACACAAAAAAAGACATTTTCTGAGATAAAACAAGGAATTAGACAACTCGTTGTCCATGTTTCTAATGCTGACATCCTGCAATCTCTCAAGAAAAATAGGCGAATTATTGAAGAAATGAAATGTCAAGACAAGGTATAAAGAAACAAAACGCTTTCCTCGATAATGCTTTCTTTTAGAGAATCTTTCGACGTCCTACGCAGATCAGCATGCACAAAATGCACACGCATCCGCGAAGCTAGAACAAGCCCCAGGATTGCAGGATCATAAGCTAGTTTATTTGTATAAACATAAGTTGTGACCACATCCGCTCCCATTTCTGCATCACTTTCACCTGCTTACAGGCATGTAGGACGAGCATAAAGCAGCCAACCAAATTATGGAATAGAAGTGGGTTGACCTCGTTGTCGCAACTTGGTCTTGTTGTCAGGGTGACTATGTAGAACGAAGTCGTCTGCCATAGTAGTTGTCATGATTCCCAGCATCAGACAGAGGACTTGGTACATTCTCAAACGTTTCGCCAGCATCGTAGTCGGCATCATCAGTCAGTTTTGCCATTCTCCGCACCAGCTGCAAACTCGTCAAAGAGACAAGGGAAGTCAATCCCTCGACAACCGTTCTGCCGAAAACGGTTACACTATCACTTCTCCTTCTGTACCGGCCTATCTATCTACTCTTTTCGGCAGAACGTTTGTCGAGGGATTGACTTCATTTGTCTCTTTAACGAGCTTGCAGCTAGTGCGGAGAATGGCAAAACTGACTGATGATGCCGACTACGATGCTGGCGAAACGTTTGAGAATGTACCAAGTCCTCTGTCTGATGCTGGGAATCATGACAACTACTATGGCAGACGACTTCGTTCTACATAGTCACCCTGACAACAAGACCAAGTTGCGACAACGAGGTCAACCCACTTCTATTCCATAATTTGGTTGGCTGCTTTATGCTCGTCCTACATGCCTGTAAGCGGGTGAAAGTGATGCAGAAATGGGAGTGGATGTGGTCACAACTTATGTTTATACAAATAAACTAGCTTATGATCCTGCAATCCTGGAGCTTGTTCTAGCTTCGCCGATGCATGTGCATTTTGTCCATGCTGATCTGCGGAGGACGTCGAAAGATTCTCTAAAAGAAAGCATGATCGAGGAAAGCGTTTTGTTTCTTTATACCTTGTCTTGACATTTCATTTCTTCAATTCAATCGAAAGGAGACTGACCATACCAGAGGCCACAACATCTTGGTATTCATATCTTCAAATTATAGAATGCCTCAGTAGAATCGCAAAGTGAAGTATACGAAGTTACTCTTCGCATCATTAAGTATAATCTCAGCCGGCCATCTTTCTTCATTTAGTGCTTTTTGGTAATAGCTTGTAAATAATGCTTTATGTCTCGTAACAAGACGGACGCAAGCTCAGCGCTGAGTCATCGGGGTCGTGGTACGGTAAGCTGAAATTTTCTTCGCACAATTCAACAGTAAACGGTCTAAGGCAACCCTCATTCGGTATCCGGTGGGGCCAATCGACGAATCCCTTGCACCCGCCTTCTCAAACCAAATGAATGATATGCTAGTATCAATCTACTAAGGGATTCTTCGAAACCCAGCTTCCCTTCATATCTCACAAAACATAGGATGCCTCAAATTAAGTTACCCGATTTGAGTGTGATTGCCACCGGCTAATCGTTTCTTGGTCAAGAGTGTATTTCTTTGTGGTGCTGTCTGT